TCTCAAACAAAGATAAAGCAAGAAGGGAGAAGAAAATTACTAGTAACAGTTCAAAAGAGAAGTCGTCGAGTAAGCAATGAAACACACATCCAATTCAAGATAAGGATCAAGTGAATATTAACTAGTTTTTCCCCCAAACAGATTGCAATGCTAAAATCATAAATAATCTAAAGAACTAGAACAGCAACATCATTACAAATTATATAAAGTAGTTTTTTTTTTTAAAAAAAAACTAAAGCATGAAAAAAGTACAGAGTTAATCAACAGATTTGACAATAAGAAAGTAGATAATGAAAAATGTACCTGAGATAAGAGCAAGAGAGATTGATTTGGTTCAAGAATGATATCGATTTTGGATCTGCCGATTTGATGAAGATCAGATCGAGCTCGAGTTCGAGTTCGAGTTCGAGTTCGCTGAAGAACAGCTAGAGCAAAGTCCTCGAGTGACAGAGATCGATGAAGTGCAAACCATGGTGTGTGAGAGTGAGAAACTAATCAAATGCAAAATCTGCAATTCAGCAAGCGAACAAGAGTATGTTGTTTGAAATTGAGTGAGAGAGAGTGAGTTTGTTTGAGAATGAGAGTGAAAGTGATGGTGAGAGCTTCAAATCGAGGGTTTTGGAAGAGATGGAGACTAAATTGTGGAAGAGATTGAGACAGAGAGAGACTGAGTTGAAAGAGACAGAGGTTTGGAGAAAGAGAGAGACTGAGTTGAAAGAGACGGAGGTTTGGACGGTCAATAAATTGACCCAATACGACGCCTTTTAACTGAGATCAGAGACAACATTTTTCAAAACGTTGTGTTTCATTAATTTATAATGGCGTTTTCATAAACACCATAAAAGAACTGTTGCAATACCCCCCCTTTTCCTGTAGTGAGTTAAGCAAGCGTGGCCCATCATTAAACTGGGATGTTCCCTCTCACATGATATTAGCACACAATCTCAATTCATGTAACACTAAGGTGTGTTTGGAACCAACCAAGGAAATTAAAAACTAAAAAATCATTATAAAAATCAATTTAGAAAAATTACAAAATTATTTTTTTTAAAAATTAATTTCCAAACATCACCTAAACAAGTATCCAATAATTATTTTGAAGTGAAATCAGTGAATTTATTTTTGGGACAATCTTGGGAAATTTAAATAGTGTGATACAACATGTGATCACACCAAAATGGATGTACACAAAAATAATTAGTATGGATATATTTATATATTTTAAGGAAGGGTAAATTTAGGAATGACAATGGAGACCCTACCTAGTGGTTTACCTATGGAGATCCAATCCAAAATACATGGGTTTCTCCCATTTTTCTACCCATCAGGTTAGCTTGGTGGAATAATTTAAATCTCCATTGGAGGTGGGTAAGGGATGGGTACCCACCCATTTCTCCATATATTTTGACACCACTTTTTTTAAAAATAAAAAAATATATTTTTTTTAGAAAAATTTAAAAATAAAAATTATTTTCAAAAAAATTAAAAATTATTTTTTAAAAAAATAAATAAATATTTTTTTAGAAAAAATTAAAAAAAATAAATAATAAGTTTTTTTGAGTAAATTACAAATACACTCCCTGAGATTTGCTTAAAATACGAATTGTCCCCTGTAGTTTGGAAAATTACAAATACCTCCCTGCCAGAATTTTTTATTTAATAGAATTAATGGGAAAAGTGAAATTTCAAACTGTTCACATATACAATAATAAAATTATCTGAATTATTAATTGAAATAAGTTTTTACATTATTAAAAACAGTTAATTAACTTGATGATTTATTAATAAAAGGACCTATTTGTTATGAAATTATAAACCTTAGGGGGCATAATGTAATTTCTAAAATCACAGAGGATAATTTGTAATTTAAGTAAATCTCAGGAGGTATGTTTGTAATTTACCCTTTTTTTAAAAAAATAAAAATATTTTTTAAAAATATATATATATATAATATATATTTTTGAAAATATTTATTAAAAAAAAAAGAAGTAAATGGGTCAAGTCGGGGATGGGGAAAACCCAAACCTGCTAGGGGATGGGGAGGGCAGTCGCCATAGGAGATGGGGTTGGGAAATGTGAAAAATTTATAATAAGGGAATTGGGAGTTAATATCTGCCCCTTGCCCCCATTGCCATCCTTAGATAAATTACAACAAATTCCCTTCAATTATGATCAATTATCTATTCTAATATATAAATTGAAGGCTTCTGGTGGTGTTATGTTATGTAAAAAAGAAAAGCACAAAATTTGAAACCAATGTCATGAGCTTGGCAAAGCAAATCTTACTACTTAAATAAGAAATACTATATGTATATATATATTTTTTTTATCATTATTCTTATACTATTATATATATATATTTTGAATTGCACATGCATTACGTGTGAGGCCTACTAGTTTGTTAATATTTAAACCCCTCTAGCAAACCCTTGGGGTTGTCACATGTGCAACCCATGACATGGCAAATTTTGTAGCCAAGATATAACATCCTTAAGCTTGGGAAGGAGATGATTCGTTGATGATGCTTCACGGTGAAGATTCATTGGTATATATGCATTATCTATATGTATATATATAGTTTGATAAATGGTCATTGATTTGCCTTGTAAAATATTGTTGTTAATTGATCTTCTTAAAATGAATGGAATATTGATAACTGGCATGGAATTTGCTGGGTTTGTGATAAGTTGCCTTGGGGAATTAAGTGTTGGGGATATAGTGACTTTATGAGCCAATGAATTTTGTTATTTTGCTCATTATTTTTTTTAAATGTATTTTGTAGAGGTATACTTGGAATTCCGTTCTTCAGGGATACGAGCTGGCGGATTTATTTTATTTGCTTGCTATCCTCATTTCTCGGAGCAAATCCTTCATTTGTCCTTTGGGTTCTTGAATTGTGATAAATAAAGACTGAAATGAAAGAGAGGAGAAGGACTGAAATGACAGTGATGTATATTCAGTGTCTGTTGTATTTCTATCTATTACAAGAGACTGAGCTCTCTCTATTTATAGAGAGGAGAAGGTGACCGAAGTGTATAGTACAATACATTAAACTAAGCTTTCTTTAGTGCTGGTGTGTGCTTTACAGTGTGATCTGAACATGTGATGCTAGTGGGTGTGTGCTGGTGTGTGTTGTATTAACAGAACATGTGATGCTAGTGGGTGTGTGCTGGTGTGTGTTGTATTGTATACTTTAACAGCCCACCGCAAACTCAAGGAGGATAGGCACTAGCCAACTTGAGTTTGAAGAGAATAACAAAACAGAAAAATAAGCTGACAATTAAAAATGGGATAGGAGACACTGTATGGTTGTGTCAGACCATTGTAGAAGACATGGTATGGTCGTGTCGGACCGTTGTGGCAGACAGTTTACGGGGTCATGTCGGACTTGATGTAGCAGGACACTGTGTGGTCGTGTCAGACCGATGTAGAAGACAGTTTATGTGGTCATGTCGGACCGTTGTAGCAGACAGTTTACGGGGTCATGTCGGACCGTTGTAACAGACACTGTGTGGTCATGTCAGACCGATGTAGAAGACAGTTTATGGGGTCATGTCGGACCGATGTAGCAGGACAGTTTACGAGGTCATGTCGGACCGTAGTAGCAGGACAGTTTACGGGGTCATGTCGGACCGTTGTAGCAGAGGTTGTGGTGGTGCACCAAGGGGGCGACTTAGGGAGTGCGCCATGAGCAACTTATATATGATACTGTGTATAACCTCCCCTCAAACTCAAATAGGTGTGAAGATAGAAACCTATTTGAGGGTGAAACAAAGGGATTGATAAAGCTGAGCGGTGTAGAAGACACTGTATGAGTGTGTATATAGGCTGCCCAAAAAATATACATGGATGTAGATATCGAGCCCTCAAAAGTCGTGCCCTCAAAAGGTGTGCCCGCACCCTCAAAAGGCGTGCCATCAAAAGGCGTGCCCGAATGCATCAAAAGGCGTGCCATGAAAAGGCGTGCCAGTTTGTCGGCGAGAAGAGGCGCGCGATGCGCGTGGCTGCCTCGGCTATTTAACCAAGACCTGTTGACAAACGAGGGAGTTAGGCTTTGAGGAGATTATTTTTTTTTTTTTTTTTTTTTTTTTTTTTTTTTTTTTTTTTTTTTTTTGTTTTGTTTTTTTTTTTTTTTTTTTTTTGTGGGTGTGTAAAATGGTGATCGGGGGTGATCCCAGAGATGAATAAAATATGGTTTGGTGTTGGAGTGCAAATTTTTTATCACACGGATTTGTGAAAAACAGCAATGGTGTTGGGAATTTTTTTTTTTTTTTTTTTTTTTTTTTTTGGAATAATAATAATAATAATAAAAATAATAATAAGGGAGAAAGCATATGCGGTGGAGAGAAAAAAAAAATATATATATATATATATATATATCTTTATAAAAGATATAAAGAGAAGTGTGATAAAGAAAAGAATGGTGGTGGATATGAGTAAAGATGGGGACAAGCCCATGTGAGTGGGGTGATTAAAAAAAAACAAATGTGTTCATCATTAAGTGGACGTGGGAGACCACGGGAAGTGAAAGAGAGGTTCTCTCTCTTTTGGGTGCTTGGTGGGGTTGCTACGGAAAAAAAAAAAAAAAAATGATATAAATATAGATATAGATAAGATAAAGAGGGTTTGAGCGGTGGAAAAGAAATAAAATAAAATATGATGATAGTGGGACTATTAAAAACAGCAAGAGGTATTGGATTAAGAAAAGAAGGCATGGGTGGTGAAAACAAAAAATGGTGGGGGGGACAAAAGCGGCTAAGTTGGTGGGTGAGAGAGAGAGAGATGGCCGGGTGCGAAGATGGTGAGTGTGTGGGTGTTTACTGTGGCTTCGAGGGTTGGTAAGAGGAGGGCCTGCTCAACGAGCTCGGCGAGCTCGGTGTAATGGGAGTCGAGAAGGGCGACGGGGACGGAGTTGGAGTTGATTGGGACTGAGTTGGATGGAGAAGAGGAAGATGAAGAAGAGGGTTTTGGAGTGTGTTGGGTGTGCCTTAGAGAGAGAGCAACCTAGGAATGTCTAGAGAAAGAAGATTTGGTGTTTCGGCCCTGAAACCACTGGTCCTAATATGGTAGTTGATATGTGTAAGGGAGTCCAATATCTGAATGAAATTAAGGACTCTGTTGTTGCTGGGTTCCAGTGGGCATCGAAGGAAGGTGCCTTGGCAGAAGAAAACATGAGGGGTATTTGCTTCGAAGTTTGTGATGTAGTTTTGCATGCGGATGCTATTCACAGAGGTGGTGGCCAGGTCATTCCAACGGCTAGGAGGGTTATCTATGCTTCCCAGCTGACTGCCAAGCCCCGACTTCTTGAGCCCGTGTACTTGGTGGAGATCCAAGCACCAGAGCAAGCCCTCGGTGGAATCTACAGTGGTTTGAATCAGAAGCGGGGTCATGTGTTTGAAGAAATGCAGAGGCCTGGTACCCCACTCTACAACATCAAGGCATACCTTCCTGTTATAGAGTCGTTTGGATTCTCGGGCACTTCGAGAAGGCTCTTATTTTGCTGACTTTCTTGGCATAGCAGGGGTTGAATGCTAGGCTTCTGGAGGAGAAGAAGATGGGATACTCGGTACCCAGAGACGAGCAAGACGGGTGGTTTACGAGGGACTCAGTGGCCGAGTCACTGAGATTGGTGATGATGCTCTGATCTTGAAGGTGAATGTTGAAGTGGGTTTAGTGGCAGCGGAGTCAAGGTATGTGTATGTGATATGTGTTGAAAAACTCCCGCGGGCAGCGAAGGCAAGGTTGCCGGCCGGCTGCCCGCTGGAAAGAAAGGAGTATAGGCCTAAATCTTATGGCTCTGATACCATGATAAATAAAGACTGAAATGAAAGAGAGGAGAAGGACTGAAATGACAGTGATGTATATTCAGTGTCTGTTATATTTCTATATGTTACAAGAGACTGAGCTCTCTCTATTTATAGAGAGGAGAAGGTGACCGAAGTGTATATTACAATACATTAAACTAAGCTTTCTTGTGTGCTGGTGTGTGCTTTACAGTGTGATCTGAACATGTGATGCTAGTGGGTGTGTGCTGGTGTGTGTTGTATTAACAGAACATGTGATGCTAGTGGGTGTGTGCTGGTGTGTGTTGTATTGTATACTTTAACAAATTGGAAGATGCTTTTGGCCCAGATTGGCTAGGGACAAGTAAGGAATATGAAAGCTTATATCTGCTGCTGTCGCAAGATAAACGAGATAGGGAAAAAAGGGGGTTGCCTGTCTGTCGTCCCGAAGATCCTTTCGCAACACTACAGGAAAAACATACGCATATCGGAGAATGCATAAATTTAATGAGACAATTATACGAGCACTTTGACAGGATGAAATATGAAATTAAAAGAGCTAATCCAGTAATGTGTTATTTTATTTTTTATTCTTTATTTACAGGTTTAATTTGAAGTTACGTTCACAACGTTCACTCTTTCTTCTTCTTCTTCTTCTTCTTCTTCTTCTTCTTCTTCTTCCTCTTATAGGAGTTCGCGCTTCATTCGAGATTTCAACTGCAATGGCTTTTTGACTATATTTTTCCCTATCATATTCAACGCTTGGTGGATGCAGTTGAAACTCAGCAAATTCCAATCTAGTAGATTGGGTGAAGTACAAGGCTTTTAGAGAAGCTAAGAAAATTGGTTTGGATCTTTCCTCGTAGATCCTAGGCCTTGCTTGAATGTTTGTGAGTACTCCTGAGTTCATTAGAGACTTGAGAGCAAGGTTCTGAAAAGCGGTTGCGGTCGCCGTAATGGTGGCGGTGGCGCGGTTGCGGTTGCAGGGTGTAAAGGCCGTAGCGTAACGGTTGCGGTAACCGGAACAGTAAATTTTTTTATTTTTCGCACAATTTGAAAAAAACTTACTGATACGCATATTTTTTTTCCATGGTCATATTTATTGGGTTTAAAATAAATATTGATCAATTTTTATAAATTTTTAAGTATGATCTAATATATTTCATATTTTTAAATCATTATAAACTAATTTTTTTACATTTTATTTTAATAATTAATGACTTTACGTTATACAAAAAAATCAATCACTAAATATTATATATAAGATAAACAATGACAAAAATAAGAGAATAAATAAGACCCTAAATTTATATATATACATATTTTAACCAAGCCAAATAGATAATGACCACACTTATTATTATTATTATTATTATTATTATTATTATTATTATTATTACCAAACAATATATAGATAAACGCACACAAATAAAATGGTTGAGTGATAGCAGCTGAATAAAATAACATAGGTCTTACAGCTTCAACAAATCAATAATATGTTCTTTATCTTTCCTCTTCTCTCTCTCTATCTCTTGCTCCTCCATCTTCTCTCTTTATCTTCCCTCTTCTCTCTATCCCTCTTCCCCCCATTGTTAGCTTTTTTTTGTGTGTTTTTTCAAAAGAAACAATTCGGAACCGTTATGTAACGGTGCGTAACAGGCTATTACGACTGTTACGGCACCGTTACGGCCGACACACCTGCGAATCTCAATCACACTGCAAAAGCTGCCATAACGGGTGGCTGTAACCACCAAAACTGTTACGTAACGGCGTTACATAATGGTTGCGGCCACTTTTTAAAACCTTGCTTGAGAGGGCTTAAGAGTGTTCTTTATGACTATTTCTTGAAGAACTTGGTGGTGGATTCACTTACTTGCAGTTTTGATTTTCATACTTGAAGCTTTCCCTGTAATGACTCAGTCCCGATCTGTTTATGCTAGTTGGCATCCTTTACCTTGTACTTGCATTGCTTCCAAATTCTTGATAATGATAGGTTTGCATTTGAAATTTAAATTATTGTAATTGAGACCAATTTCTAGATGTTTGGGCATGATTGGACCAAAAGTCTTAAATTCAAGTATTTGTTTTTAATTAGTCTGCATTCTTTTACTTCTTTTTCTCTCCATACTTCAAATCTTGATGTGAGATTAAAATCATTGGAAAGCTTACTTCTAAGGCCTCAATTTAGACTCAAAATTTGCCCAAAACAAAGTATGAACGACAGAGTTATGCATATTCGAAGTTCAAGCATTGAAGTTGTCAAGAGTAGTTCGCTTGAGCAGTAAGTTTCACTTGAGTGGTCTGTGCGACTTTTAATACCTAAAAGACGCATTTTTTTTTTTTCATATTTTAGTCCAATTTCACCCCTCTCTCTCTCTCTCTCTACACACTACAACATATAAGAATTTTATACACTAAAGTTTTTGGTCTCTAAGGTCCCTAAAAATCAAAAAATTTGTTGCAAAAGAGATTTAGGGACCAATTTTTATCGTCGTAAGAATAATCGTTGAAAGATCGTCTCGAAAAGTCAAAAATAAGATTTTTAGCTACAAAATTTTGAAAATGTCACTAATAAATAGACTTTTAGTAACAAAATAATTTGGCTTCAAAATGATTCATTTTTTGAGATAAAAAATTTAGTCCCAAAAGGATAATTCATTACTAATGTCCAATTTTTGTTGCTAAAAATATAAGAACGACACTTTCTGTAAAAAAAAAATATTTAGTCTCTAAAAAGTAATTTTGTCCCTAAATTTTAGTCTCCAAAACCTTAAATTTCTATAGTGACATATATATATATATATATATTCTCTCTCCTTATATCTATACACCCAAGAACATATTTGTATAACTTAAGATTTGAAGGCCAAGGAGTTGGATTCATCTTAAAGTTGAAGCATTAAAGTTATTCTACGCATCAAGTTACTACTAAGCCATCAAAATGAATTTGTTTTGGTCATCATCTCTTTCGTGGAGCTGCGATTCCTTTTCTCTTGAGGGAGTGATTTCTTCCCCCTTTTCAATATGGGTTTTTAAGATATGTGTGATAATCTATATATTATATAAAGAAAATGGAGTTTTTAATTCACAAGCCTTGTGGGAGTTTCAATATCTCAATCTTAATTTTCTAATTTTTTTATTTAAATAAAAAAATCTTAGCACTTATTGACTTTCCCCAAATCTTTTTGACTTCTCTCATACACACCCTTTTCAACTTCTCCTATATCTATTTAATTATTTTGGAAATAATAATTATCCCCCCTTTTCAATTTCTCCCATACCTATTTAATTAGTTTGGAAATAATAATTGTTTCGTAATTTATGGATTTCAAATGGAAAGATAACAAAAATGTTTCATAATCTCCATTCTAATTTCTCTCATCAATTTTTAAAGAAAATATTAAAACTTGTCTTTGTAACGCCTCAAATTTCTAGCCCAAATAATAATACAACAATCATGGCTCGTTCAAGGAAAACCAAATATAAATCTCCAAACTTATAGTACATGATACAATAGTTCTTCATGCAACAATACATTAATCCAACAACAAGTAAATAAACAAATAAATACCCCCAAGGGGGTTTACAAGTTTCCAAGGCTTGAGTTTGGTTACACAAAACGGTTATTCAAACCCACACAAACACAGCCCTGGGCTTACACACAGAGTCACAGCAAAATGAGAGCATTGTACTCCCAACACACATACTTCCACGCCCCTAGTTGGTTGGGATCACCACATCTTTTCCTGCACAAAAATTCCATAGGATGAGCATAAAGTCTAGTAGGAAATTCTTAACAAAGTATATACATTTTATACAAGTCTCAAGAGATGAAATGCACATGCCATACTATGTCCTTTTTGAAGATAAATCACATTTTCATCTTTTGAAAACCATCATGCTCAATGATATCATGCAATTTCAATTGTTTAAAACCTAACAATTTATTTCAAGGGCGGTAAATACGACTCTGGTAATCCCTAGGTCGGTGTCTGCAAGTAGACTATACAAGTACTACAAATTTTTCATTTTTACCAACATTGACTAGAAGGCTCGACACCTATAATCTATCATTTTTACTAGTATTAGCTGGAAGGCTCGACACCTATTCAATTTCATCTATACCACCTGTCAAGGGTTACCACCGTATTTACCCCAAAATCAATTCATGGAAACTTGTTTCTCAACATTCTTTTCTCAATGCAAGTTTTCAAATCAACTTTCAAAGTTTAATGTAATCAAATGAATTGATATGCCGATAACAAAAGATGAATATAAATACTTTTATTCCAATTCATCATCCAAGGAATAACACAATTCCCTCTTCTCAAGTATCCTCAACAATTAGTCATTTCAAGACTATTTCAACGTTTTGAACAATAATTTTCAAAATGAACAACAATTCTCATATTCCCTGAAATTCATCATTTCTAAAAATATAAATAAGAAATTTTCCAAACATCCATTTATTTTGACACACAAAATAAATATAATAATATCATTCATGGATTATCAGTTTCTAAAAAAAAAATCCCCAAATTTTAGATTTTCTCACCAAAACTATACAACTCAAATCTTTTGAAAGAAAACTTTTCAAAATCATCTTTTCTTCAATCAACAAAGATCAAAACCCATAAGATCATTTTAAAAAACAAGAGACAAACCCACTTTCAAAACCGCTCAACTTCTTGAATTAACAATCAATTTTCAAAGCTATCGAAGGATGATTTTGAAAATTATTTAGATCTTGCAAATATATATATATATATATATATAACTCTAAGAAAATCCCTACCTCAAGTTTTGAAGAAGAAATGAGATGAAACCCTCAAAATCAACAGTGTCCAAACTCAATCTTCACCGCACACAACAAAGCCCTTGAGATGATAATCAACTTTGGTAAAGAACTTAGGTCTAAATCCCAATGGATTTG